GGACCACAGCATGGACATGGACTGCTCCCTAGTGCAGAGCGAGGACCAGCTGGCCAGGATCTTCTCCTCCGACATTCCCTTCACGAGGTTCCGCAGATTAGTTATCATGAACAACCGGAATCTGATGGCTCTGCGAAGCGGCGACTTAGGCGTGGCGTCTTTCGAGACAATTTTCATACAGGGCGGCATCCTGGAAGAAGTGCTTGCCCAGACATTAGCCAACAGCTTATTCCTCCGCCACTCACATCGATCTCAATGATAACGAGTGTTAGACTTTCCCTTCCTAGAACTGCCGTTGTTTACGTCCCTTCGCTCCTTGAAGCTAAGTATGAACTGGCTCTCCGAATTTCCAACGCTGCAGTCAAGCGTCCTGCAACACATTGAATTAGATAAAAACTCTTTTGATAGAATTCCAGCCGATGGTTTCACATTTCTGACGAATGTTGAAACAATAAGCTTGTCTAACAACCATTTACAAATGATTCTGCCAGGTAAGATTTACGTCCCGATGTATTGATACTGATGGTAAAAATAACATTGATATTATAGAAATTAGTAGCCATATTGCTGTCATGATCGTAGTTACAATGGTGATTATTATCATCTATCTTATGATGATTCATATTATCCTTTTTGTTGTCATTATCATTAGTGGTGCTACCATTATGACTGTTGCTATGACTATTACTATCATAGTCATTGCTATTATCACGATCATAATCGGTATCATCATTATGATTTATTTTACTATACTCTCATTAAAATCATAATTAAACCACTATTGTTGATATCACCGTTACCATAATCATTATTATCAGCAGTATTGTTCCATTGCCATTATAATTTCCGTGATTTTCAAGCTATTATCACACTATTGCAGTTACTACCGTCGCCGTAACTATTATCTTATTGTTATCTTATTCGTGATCACTTCCGTTCCTATCAGACCTTATATTCACGTTCTTGTTATTTTCATCTTCGTATTTTCCTTATTGGTACAATCGTTATTTTCATTTTCATTCTTATTGTTGATGTTGCAGTCGTTTTTCGATCCTATTATGAGTGTTATCATTTATATGCTAGTATTGATACTTATAATTACTATTGCAATTATCATTACTATCATTATTTTAATTTATTATCATGATTGTTATTTGGTTATTGTTATTACTGATATCTTCATCATGATCATTATTATTATTATCATTATTGTTAATATTATTATCATCATCCTTATTATTATTGTTATTATTATTATGATCAAAATTGTTAATATTATTATTGTTGTTGTTACTAGTGTTGTTATTACTGCTATCATTATTATCATTATTATTATTATCATCATCATCATCATCATCATCATCATCATCATCATCATCATCATCATCATCATCATCATCATCATCATCATCATCATCATCATCTAATTATTATCATTGTTATTGTTATTATTATTTTTATTATTTTTATTATTATTATTATTATTATCATTATTACTATTATTATTATTATCTTGATTATCATTATCATTATTACCATTATTGCTATTATTATAATAATGATAATGATAATGATAATGAATAATCATTATTTTTTTATTTGTTATTTTCTTTACATCATATCATTGTTATTATCATTACATCATTATTATTACTATAATTAATTTCGACGGCATTTCCGTTCTCCACATTAATGTATTGAAAACAGTTATGTTAAAAATACTTATAATAGTAAAATCAAAATGTTAGTCATAAAAATATTGATAATGAAAATAGCGATAACAATAGTAATGATAGTTTTGATAATGATTATGAGAATAGAAATAATGCTGATAATAGTAATGATGATGGTAATGATAACAATAGCAATGATGATGATGGTAATGGTAACAATAATAATGATAACAATGATAAAGATAAGAAAGGAATAACAATAATAATGATGATGATTGATGTGATATTAATACTTATAAGAATAATGAACAACAACAGTGATAATGATAATACAAATAGTAAAAAGAGTATTAAACAAGTAATTGATAATGATAATTATTCTATCAATAATGATAATAATGATGATTACGATAATGATAATAAATTGATAATAAAAATAAACAAATAATATAATAACAGTGATAAAGATTGATGTAACAACAGTGATGAAAATGATGAACATTATAATAATGATAGCGATGATGATAATGATAACTACACTAATGATATTAAGGGTAATAAAGAAAAACAACAACAGCAATAATAATAATAATGGTTATGATAATGATGCTAATCATGGTTATATAGTGACAATAATGATACTGATGATTATAAGAATTTAAATCTTGATGATACTAATATTATCAGCAACAAGGATGTTGATGATAAAGATAATAATTACAGTAACATCAGCAACAGCAATGATAATAAAAGTGATGATGAAAATATTGATAACGATAACAGTTATCAAATATGGCAATAATGCTAATAATTGTTACCATTATCAT